TGAAGCAACGGATGGATAGAGGCTGGTCCAGAGGGGATGATGGACTCCAATCCCCCCTGTCCCCCACTGGCCATAACTCTCTCAGACTGGTCACTATACAAGAGCTGCCGTCTGCCTCAGCAGACAGAGTTTCCTCACCCACGAATTCCCTACATGAGGGAAATGTATATGTCCACCAACCCTCCCTCTCCTGAAAAAATTCTACCCTACAAGTTATGGAGACTCAATAAATGTTTTTAAATAACTAAATTCCATTTAAACTCAGCACGCTGACCCTGGAAGAAGCAGGATTACACTAGAATGCCTGAGACGATTTATTTTTGTACTTTTAAAGTAATTCTTTGCTCTTAGAAGTCTTCAGAAGTATATCAACCACAGCTGCCCGATCCCACTAAAAGACTTACGGCAGGTGGCGATGACCACACCAGGTGACAAGAATGAGCAGCTTAAACAGCCAAGGCGCTTCATTAACACAGGATGCACAGAATGCACACCGACAGGAGATCAGAGGAGAGGAGATCAAGCTCAAGTCTATGGGCATGAAGCTCATTGACTGGTTCGTTCAAAAAGCCCACTACGTATCAGGCCCTCTGCTACACTTTGGAGAAAAGATAAAAATGAAACCAGCCTTGCCCTTGGGGAGCTTAAACTCTACGGCGTGTAATACTACATGGCAGAAAAGGCAAACCCCATAGGAAGTGGATTGCTATTATCCCCAAAAATATGAGAGAAAACTCCCCAAGTCCGTACAGAAGGGACTCCCCAGCTGATCCCATAAAACAGAACCATGAGTAATGGCTAAACTGCGAGAATGAGGCACAGTTACCTCATATTCAAAGTAAAGCTTGTAAAATCATTTGACCTCCACGTCTGTCTGCACTGCCCCAAAATAATGACGGAACACAGCTACAGCTCAAAGCAAAATGCAGTCAAGGGTTTCCAAGACAAGATCTGATCAGCCCCGAACCTGTGCTCTCCCGGTCTGAGGGATCCAGTTAAAAGAGCAGGAAGCGTTGCATTCCCAGGGTCTGCCAATAAGGCTCTCTTCACGCCATAGCAGAAAAGAAGCTATAATTTGTGATTACTCAATGAGAGCAAACCCCTTAGTTTCATTGAGGCTTCCTCCCGCCCTTTCCCCTCAACAGAGGGAGCTGAGCGGCTCCTATCTCTAGACAAAATCTGGGACTTTCTGGCTTTCTGTAAACGGAGACACAAAGACAGCTTTGCAGCCCTGGGTGTGCAAGCCTGAGATATTCGAGGCTGAGTAAACAATCTCCCCAACCCATAGGGGACCAAGAGCTCAGATAAGTCAAATTCGGGACAGCCTTTCTTGGCAGTGAAAGGCCACGGCCCATCTACTCCTTGGTTCTGAAATGGAAAGAGCACAATTTGGCCTCCGGGGCTCTGGGTTCGAATCCCAGCTCTAGTGCCCCTCCGTGGTGACCTCAAACAAGCTGCCTCACCCCTGGGCATCACAGGCTTTGTCCATAAAACCATACAGCAGGACGAGAGGCCTGTGAGGCCCCTTTCTCTTCCCCATCCTAGAATGCCACAAGAAGCATCGACTTCGAGAAAAGTCTGAATTGCGTGACGCGGTCAGTCCTTCCCCAGGTCTCTCTGTGAGGGCCCAGGGCAAGGGGACAAGCTGGGGGAGGCAGGGTTCCACTTTCTGCGTTCCTCCTCTCTTCATCTCTGTCCTGCTCTCCCAGAACTACCCCAGACGCTGACGAATCAAGGAGGAGGCTAGAACCGTGCAAGGCCTGCACTGCATGCCAGGTGAACCAGCGCTAACGATGGCACTCCCTCGGGGGAGCCCGGCCCCTTCCTGCACTCCCAGGATCGTGCTTTCTCCTCAGTCTCTAGGGCACAGGTCAGAATGGCGAGACAAGTGCTTTTATTGTGAACAGGATCACCCTTGTCTGAGGTCTATGGTGACCTATGAGTCAGTTCATTTCTGAAGGTTACCCCCCATCCCCAAGCCGGTCTCTGGCCCACCCTCTAAGTCACAGGATCAAGGATGGGTCAACAGCCTGGCCGACAGCAGCCCTGTCCAGCCTCGCCCATGACCGCCCCCCCCCTGCTCTCTAGGGATCACCCGAGATGTCACGGGGTGATCACAAGCTTTCTGAGAAGAGGGGCTGCCTTCTCCAACCCTCCTCGTGCCCCAGTCCTTAGCCAAAGTGCCTGGCACATAATGAATTCTCGTTGGCCGACACAGTAGAATATCGGGTAAATCCTGGATGGAGTCACCTGGTCTCAATGAACCTTTCGATGAATCCATTCATTCTACAACTGGGTGCTTACCATGTGTCAAGCACTCTGCCAGGCCCTAGGGACAGAGACGGAAATGAAATTGTCCCTGTCCTCAGGAGGCTTCCATTCAGCTGGTTAGAGGCAAACCCCCAAGAAGCATCGATTGAGCACTCACGAAGCAAGCACTGGGCTAACCATGGGAGGTTACAAAGAAAACTCATCAAACACTCCCTGACCTCAGGGAGTTTCCTTTCTACCAGAGAAAACAGCAAGTTCAGGGAGTCGGAGGTCATTTCTAGGGTGGTCTCAGGCAGCTCAAGGCCCTGTAGGAGGACAGGAGGGGCTATGTTCCGGGGACAGGGGAAAGCCACTCTGCAGCAGAGCCTACGCGGCAACGGCCCTGGCCATCCGGCTGCACCTCAGAGTACGTCCACAACAACCAGCATTTATTAAGCCCCTACTGTTTTACCAGGCACTGTGGACCCTGCCCTCAGGGAGCTCATAGCCTAAAGGGCAAACAACTGGATAAACTGGAGGCCCCCTCAGAAGGAGGGCACCAGGGTGAGGCTGGGGCCCAAATGGGCAAGGTTTTAAGGGGCAAACATTATGGGAGGCTCCGGAGCTTTTGGGCTTTCCCTTCTGTGACCAGTGAAAGGAGAAACCTTCCCGGGCGACCAGGTGCAGCCCCCCCCCCCCCTGCCCCCCCCCCCCCCCGCCCCCCCCGGGCCCCCCCCCCCCCCCCCCCCCCGGCTCTGGAAAGCTTCTGGAAGGAAAATTCTGCCCGTCCTTGATCTGTGACTTAAATGCCCTGGCCTACATCAACTCACAAAGCTGAGCACCCGGCGAAGTTTAACTCTCAAAGGCTCAATGCACCCTCAGGGCACCAGGGCAGAGCAGTATATTTTACATCTTTCTGTCAAACAGCTCCCCCACCACAACACACCCTGAAAAGCTGATTTTACATTTCTTGTACAACAACTCTCCAAAAGCCAAGCTGCCAAAGTCAATCTCACTAACTGAACCCATCAGAAACAGCCAGATTGTGAGCATGAATTATGAAATTCCCCCCTCGTACTGTACTGTAACCTGATATTCCGAAAAGTCTCTTCAAATAACAAATGATGTTCAGACAACAAGGGGATGCACTTCTCTGCGGCAGAGTTCATTCTGTCTCAGCCATGCCAAAAGGGGATGCCCAAAGGCCAGGGGCTATGTCCAATACATAATAATGGGACATCACCTAAGTGGTGTCAGGCAACCAGAGGAGGAATTTGGGGAGAGGGGCAGGACCTGAGGCCCCCACCTCTTTTTTTTTTAAATGCACCAGGTACAGGAGTGGGTGCGGGGTGTGTGTGTGTGTGTGTGTGTTTTTCAGGAAGCTATATTTAAGAAGTAATCTTGATAAGTACCAGGAAATGCAAGACTTTCTGTAACTACAAGCAACAAACAGGGTTCTGACAGTGGTCAAAGGGCATCACTCGGGTCTTGGCCAATGCAGTCGGACACAAAGTCAATATTTAAAAGTGGCAGCTGGCAGAGGGGAGAAAAGATGGCTCTGCCCGTTCCCAGGCCAGGGAGACCTTGGTCCCGGCGTGACTCTCAGTGTGCCTCAGTTTCATCACCTATAAAATGAGGGAGGGAGGGCTAAATGAGCTCCAAGGGGCCTTCTAGCTTTCAAGTCTACAATAAAAGCTGATCAGGCACCACCTAGTACCCCATGGAAGGAAGGAGATGAGGAGGTTCTCCGATCCTTTACTAGCTGAGTGACCAAGGTCTTTCTATGGGCCTCAGTTCCCTGATCTGTAAAATAAGAGGGCTGGACTAGACCATCTTGGCTCTTACTTTAATAAAGACAATCACTTTTGTGAGCTCTCAACTTGGTGCTGTGGAAAGTGCACTCTGGCTTTGCCTCTTACTACCTGTGAGACTTTGGGGCAAGTCACTTGACCCTGTCCCCAAGTCTCAGTTTCCCCATTTGTAAACTGAGAGGAGGAACTTCAAGGACTCTTCCAGTTCTAAATCTCTGGTCCCCGCTGTGAGTGGGTCACAAATCACATCTCTTGGCCTCAGTTTCCTCATCTGTAAAAAGGTGGTGGGGTGGCCTAGAGGGCCTTTCTGGTGTCTTGAATCCTTCCAGCTCTAGCTACATTTCTGGTCCCATGAGTGCTTAGGGAAGTGTTTTCCTTAGGTCTACTTTGTGAGGGGCTCAAGGACCCGGGGAAAGAAAGGGGCAGGGGATGCTGGGAGGGCCCGCTGGGAGGGCCCTCTGGGGGGCAGCTCCAGGAGCTCAAAAGGTAGATGGAGACCCCTGGGGGGAAGTGCCTGAGTGCACTGGTCACAGTTAGTGGGGGGTGGGCACGAGCTCCAGGGGAAGACACTGGGGGCTCTGTTGGGCAAGTGCAAGGAAGGGCGCCGGGGAGTCTCTGAAGGAGGGAGCACTGCAGAGAAAGAGAAGGGGGGGAGAGAGAGTGAATGAGCGTGTGCCTGCCTCCGGGGGCGGGTCCTCACCTCCTCCGTGAACCAGAGGATTGGGGGTCTGTACTGGGTGTCCCCGGGGGGGTGCGCTCGGAGGGGTGGGGGCGGGTCGGGTGTCCCAGCGGGGAGAGCACTCGGCTGGGGGTGGTCTGTACTGGGTGTTCTAGCGGGGGTCGTGCTCGGAGGAGAGGGGGTCTGCACTGGGTGTCCCCGCGCGGGGCGCGCTCGGCGGGGGGCGTCGCGCCCGGCGGGGGGTCGCGCGCCCTCCTCACCTCCTCCGTGACCGTGGGGCAGTAGAAGATGAGCAGCAGCGTGCTGAGCATGTTGACCAGCAGCCCGCTCAGGGTGATGGCGTTGGGCGCCAGCCAGAGCGGGACGCGCTCCACGAGCCAGCGCCAGAAGGGCTGCAGCAGCGGCTCGAGCAGCGACGTGCCGGCCGCCGAGTAGCGATGCTCCTCCAGCCGCCGCAGCTGCGCGGGGCTCAGCGGGGCCGACAGCGCCCACAGCGCCCACGAGCCCGAGCCGCAGTCCCCCGGGACCGCCGGGAAGCCGCCCGGGCCGGGGCCGCCCTGCCCGCCGTGCCCGCCGCCCGCCTCCGAGGCCGCCATGGCCGCCGCAGCCCCCGCCGCCTCCGAGCGAGCTCAGGGCAGACGGAGGAAGGGACGGCGGGAGGCGGGCGCCGGCGGAGGGGCGGGGCGGGGCCTTGGGGGCGGGACCCCTCGCGGGGCGGGGCCGTTAGTTCTCTCACGCGAGGGGGAGGGGCTCCGCGCGCACGTGCGCGCACGCTCCTGGCACGCTGCAGCCCTGGGGACGGGCACGCGCGCGCCTGCGCACTGGCCTCGGGAGGCCTCTCCTGGGGAGCGCCCTGGGCTTGGGCACGCGAGCCGAGGCCCCGCCTCCAGGCGAGCTGCGGAAAGGATGGCCACAGAGGGGAAACTGAGGCACGTGATGGCTGGGTCATGGTTTAATCTGTCTCACATTACATAGGACCGTAGCCCGAGGGCAGTAAGGCACCCCTGAGGCCATCTGGTCCAATCCCCCCGTTTTACAGCTGGGGAAACTGAGGCCCAGGGAGGTCACATGCCACGTGTAATGACTTAAATTGCCCTTTTTACAGAGCACTATCGATCTAAAGCTGGAAGGGCCCCCAGAGGGCAGGCCTTGAGCAGTCCCATGATGAGGGGCTAGGTCTGCAGGCCCCTCCGGTCATTTAGTCCAACTGTAGACCGGCCAGCTGGAATCACCTCTGCCAGTCCAGCTCTGCTTGTGCGATCTTGGGTGGGTCACTTCTCTGGGCCTCAGTTTTCTCATCTATAAAATGAGAGGGCTGGTCTAGAGATGGCCTTTAAGAGTCCCTCCAGCTCAAGGTCAATGATCCTTTAAAAAGTGGGTTATTTGGCCTCTAGTAAAGGGCAATACTGGTTTCTGCGATTGTTAGGAAGTTTTTCCTTACACTGAGCTGATATCTGCCTCCCTGCCCGTGGTCCTGAAGCCCTGGCACAGATACTTATGATTCCTATCAACCAGCTCTTGGCTGGAAGGCCTGGCATCCTGTGTGGCACTTAACAGTGGTTGGCACATCGTGGGCACTCAGTGAATGTTTATCGGTGGGTTGATTGGCTTGACTTTGTGTAAGGAGATAGCAAAGACCTGAGATTTAGACCTCGAAAGGAACCTTAGAGACCATCTGGTCCCAATCCATTTTACAGAGAAGCACACGGAGACGCAGAGACTTAAGTGATTTGTCCAGTGATTCATAGATAGCAAGGGACAGGGCCCTAGGTCAAGGCCATTGTTCACATAAGCACCAAACATGTGGGCTTCATCCTTGCGATAGACCCTGGCCCCACGGGAGGACACAGAAAAGCCTGAGTGGCCCCTCTCAGCACTAAACGAAAAGAGGGTGCCGTGTTTTTAGCTCTTAAGAAAGGCCTCCATAGGGATGCTCACTCCTCCCTCTTCCCTCCAGGAATAGAGGGAGCCCAGGTACGTGGGGTCATGGAAGGTGGGGTACGCAGTGTCATGGAGAGGGAGAACATTGGCTGTGCTGGAAACCAGAGGGCCTGGGGCCCAGGCCGCACTTGAGGACCTAGAGGACCAAATGTGGTCTCGAGGCTGCAGGTTCCCCACCCCCGGCCCTGGGCTCTTTCTAGTTCTTCTGGGGACAAGGTCAAGTTCTCAGGGCCTCCCTTATGAAAGGAGCAGGTTGATTTCAGATCTCCTCACTCTCTCTGTCTCTGTCTCTGTCTCTGTGTCTCTCTCTTTGTCTCTCTCTGTCTCTGTTTCTCTCTGTCTCTTTCTCTCTGTCTCTCTCTGTGCCTGTCTTTCTCTGTCTCTGTCTCTGTCTCTCTCATCAAAAAGCCTGTGATTCCCTGGATTGTGACCCTCTCTGCACTTCTCTGCCCCTTGACCCCTACACGCCACAGGCACCCTGCCCCAGATACCCTCCAGGGCCCCATACCTAACAATGGAACTGCTGAGCAGGAGGATTCTGTCACAGACATTCTCTGTTGCACAACGTGCCATGAGGAGGCCTGTCGGATACCCATCTGGCTCTCCACCCTATGGGGATGGATCGACCGTCAGTCTTCCAGGGTGGAGAGCAAGCTCAGAAACTGTGAAGGAGGCAGTGCCTGTGATGAAAGGGGAAAGAGAGGATCCCCAGGGCCGTCGGTACATGCATCTCTCTGCCGTGATGTCTCTGCTGGAAAGCGCTGATCGGGGCTTCTGAAAGCCGCTCCTGGGTAGGTGCTAGGACGCTGGGAACTGGAAACCCAGTTCTGAGGTTCACGGTTCATGTCCTACGCGAGCTGTTCTTGTGTGACTTTTCACCCACTCTCTAGCTCTTCTCCAGCCATTCCTTTGGCCAAGTTCCCACAAAATGTTACACTTTCTCATAGGGCTGAATCAGGCGCAACAGTAACACGTTAAAGTCCTCGAAGGTCTAACCCTCCTTGGGGGCTGAAAAAAAACCTGGGGTTTGCAAATCTAGAATCCATTGACTGTGTATTTTTAAAAATGCAGTTGTATTTTCAGCTCCCTCTCTCCTCCCCTTCCCCTACTCACTGAGAATGTAAGAAAAACAAAACCTATCACAAAAATGTGTGGTTATGCAAAACAAATTCCTGCATTAGTGTCTAAAAAAAAAAACAAGAAGGAAGGAGGGAAAGAAGGAAGGAAAAGAGGGAAGAAGGGGAGGGAAAGGAAGGAGAAAGAAAGAAGGGAGGGAAGGAGGCAGAAAGAAAGAAAAGAAAGAAAGAAGAGGGAAGGAGGGAAAGAGGAAGGAAGGAAAGGAAAGAGAAAGGGAGGGAGAGAAGGGAAAGGAGAGAGGGAAAGGAAGGAGAAAGAAAGAAAAAAGAGAGGGAGGGAGGCAGGAAGGAAGAAAGAGAGAAAGAAAATAAAATCTGCTTCAAGCAGCACTGAGTCCGCGGTTCTCTCTCAGGAGATGGATATCATGTTTTCTCACGGGTCCTTTGGAACTGATCGGTTATTGTGTTGATCAGAATTCCTAAGTCTTTCAGAGTTGATTATCTTTGCAATCTTGTTGTTACTGTTTCACTGGTTCTGGTTCTTCTGGCTTCACTCTATTATCAGTTCATGCACATCTTCCAGAATTTTCTGGAGCCTTCATTTTCCTCCCATGCCTTGTTCATCCATCCCCAGATCATGGGCACCCCCTCAGTTTCTTGTCCTTTGCCACCACAATAGAGCTGCTGTAAGTATTTTTGTACATTTGGGTCCTTTTCTACTTTGATCTTTTCAGGGTACAGCCTTAGTAATGGTGTTGCTGGGTCAAGGGCTATGCACAGTTTAATAGCTCTGTGGATGTAGCTCCCAATTGCTCTCCAATTTGGATTGTTCCAAATTACACTCTACTAACTGTGCAACCAAGTACCTGTTTTCCCATAGTCCCTTCAGCATTTGATCAAATAATTTACAATCTATTAGAGTGTTAATTATTCTTCAAGACAGGTTAACAATGTGACCAAAGATCTTGCAAAGAGATTTATAATACCATAGACCTGGACAGCATCTAGTCCAGCTTCCTTATTTTGCAGATGGGGAAACTGAGGCCTAGGAAGTTCAGAGACTTGCCTGAGGTCAAACAGTAAGAAATGGGTTGTATAAACCAGTATTACTTAACACCATATAGTTAGGATAATAGAATTGTAGATCAAGAGTTTGGAAAGGAACTCACAGGCCATATAATGCAGTTCTGTCAGATGGAGAAACTGAGGCCCAGGGAGGTTAAGTGACTTGTCCAAGGTCATATAGGTAAATATCCGAGGTAGGATTTGAACCTAGTACCTCTGACTTCAGCATCAATATTCTCCATTGTGGTATGAATTAAAAAAATTTTTTTGTTTATATTTTCATCATATAAAGTTCCCAGGATAAAGTCAAGCTTTTGTGGTCTGGGGACCCCTCCCCAAATCAATCATTTTATAGGATTGAAGACCCTCAATCATGATTTTTTTTTCTCTTCCAGAGGGAAGGAACCTAAGAGGTTCCTGCAAATTAGAACCAAAGCTCTGAGCCAAGGGATGGTAAATTTACTTCTCAATCTGTATTTGAGAAAGTAATTCTGCTGTTTTTAAGAAAATAGACTGTCAGAGATTCAACTCTTAATCCAATAACTTGCATATAGATCTCTTCAATTAGTTACTCTTTATCTTCCCAAGATTACAGAGGTGGGGATGGGGGTTGGACTCATTGACCTCTAAGGTCCCTTCCATCTCTAAAGCGATGGTGTTATGACCCTTGTGTAAGCTGTACCTGCTGGCTGTGTGATCCTGGACAAATCACTTAACCACTCCACGATCTAGGCACCTCCCTAAAACTATAAGCTGCTGATCTATATTGTGGGAGCTTCCTCATCTGGGAGTTCTCTGAACTCTCTGAGCTCCAGTCTCTGTTCCCAGATAATTAGGTTTAACAACGTTAGTAACAAACATGCCTTAGTCTCCTCCTTTTTTTTTCTGTGAATTTTTAAAAAATTAAATGTTTTTCATCATAAACTTTTTCATCGTCAACAACCACCACAAATATTTCAATGCAAAAAAAAGCAAGAAAGGGATTTTAATAAGAATCTATGGACTTCTCTCAGGACAGTCATGCCTCACATCCAAATCTTGCTGTTTCTACGTCCGTCACATCTCCTGACGTTCTCTCCCCTCCCTCCTGTGTAATTCGAGACTTTAGCACCTCTTGCCTGAATTATTGCACCAGCCTCTTAAGTGGTCTTTCTGCTTTTAGCCTCTCACTACTTCAGTTCCTCCTACAGACTGCTGTCCAAAATAACTTTCCTTAAATGCAAATCCAAATCGTTCAACCAAATCCAGGGGTTTCCTATTACTTGTCTTTCCTTTTTCTTTGGCTAGGCAGTGGGGTTAAGTGACTTGCCCAGGGTCACACAGCTAGTGAGTGTTATGTGTGTGAGGCCGAATTTGAACTCGGGTCCTCCTGACTCCAGGGCCAGTGCTGTATCCACTGCGCCACCTAGCTGCCCCTCCTATTACTTTTCGATTAAAACACTGTATTAACTCCTCTGTTCAGCTTTTACAGTTCTAGACAGCCTCGTTTCAACCTAACAGCTTCACTGGAGGTT